TTGTCTGTTTACATTTGATGAGGTTGGTTGGCACCTGTATGCGCTAATGTACCAAAGAGTAAATAACACTCATCTTCCCACCCGCCAGCAGAGCTGCTGTTACTGAACAGACAGATCCCAAATGGGCCGTTTTCCTCTGGGCAATTTCTTGGTCCTGTTAGTGGTGCCGACTGCAATGTCGCATGCATGTCATGTGTTGCCATGTGATGTTCCCAAGGGGACTGATCAAAGGAATTGTCTTCAAATAACGTCCTTTTCCTTCCAAGATTTTGCTAAGTGACTTTGGAGTCTGTCACAGTCTGGTCAATTTCTGTCCAGATAAAATATTTTCACGCTATCACTGGAAAACTTCAAGGGAGAATTTCTGGGACAGATCAGTGGCAAAGAAATAGAGCTAACTTTGGCCCCTACTTTCACTCAAAGCAAACACACTCGAACTCTCAGGATCGTTTAGCTCCTAGAGTCCAGGTTTTGATTGAAAAGACAAGGGTGAGAATTGTAGTGCATCTTTCATTAGCTGGATTTGACAGCTATAGTTTGGGCTGCTTCCCCTGCACATCACACCCTGCCACGTGTCCAGTTATCCGTGGCCCTGCGAACGCGGCCCTTATATGAAATCAGGCCGGAGTCCTTTGCACACGGCTGTGGAAAGCTGCAGCGTTCGCTTGCTGGAGACGGGACCGCAAGAAGGGATGCAAGATGTGATCACAACCTCCAGTGCTGCTCTTTTTTCCTGTGGGGATAAGATCTGCCATGTTCCCTCACCCAGTCTCTTGCAGTGGGGCGACTGGCTGCTTTCACGGCCACGCCCTGTATGGTGTGATCCCTCTTGAACCAGTTTCTCTGGGTTTTTGCTCCCATCGAAGGCCAGGAATATTGCTCAGTTGGGAGTCTTAGCTGAGGAGGAGTGGAAGCCATGATTAGCTGCGAGGTTGCGACAGCCAAGGGCCGTGGTATCCCGGAAAAGCGCATCTGGGAGAAATACCTGATGTCAGTGCCAGGTGATTCTCACTTTCATCAGCAGTAGAATATGGGAAGGGTAAATGGCTGTCATCAAGCATGGGTCAATTACAGAGCTGGTATAAAGACAGAGGTGCTAACCACCCTTCCCTAAGGCTAAAGGGGAGGAGCACTTAAGCCCCTTTGTGTAGTGATAGCTGGAGCCAATAGAAGCCAACGCCCAAGGCAATTGGTTGCATGCCAAAGCCCGAGTGGAATTAAACCATGTGGGCTGAGGGGTTTCCCGGGGGACTGATTGCAAACACAGGGGGTAGGGGAAAGGGGGAGTTGCTTGGCAAGCTGTGTGCCTGAGGGAGAAAGCCAGCAGGCAGCGAGAAAAGCAGGTGGAGGGACAGAGCTCCTTGGGACACAGGACTGGCTAGAGGCAGACTTGGAAATAGCGAGCCAGGAAACTGCCTGCTGTCGTTTGTTTGTTTCTACTGTGATCAAGGCAACAGGACTTTGTGTGCATAAGGAGTCAGGACTTTGTGCATTCCGTGTAAATAAGCAGGAGTGCACCAAAGAACTACCTGACTCGTAGCATCAGTTTTTCCTCCACATGGAAACAAGCCTGGCAGTGCTTAACCGCTTGGGCAAAGGGGAAGTGCTAGCCACAGAAATATTGTAAAACTACAGCGGCTGGCGCAGCAGAGCCGGCGTGCACCTCGGAACCAGGTGCTGGACGTTGGCGATAGGCTAACACGCAGGTGGATTTGGTCTCATCTCACCAGCCACCCCCACCAAATCCCCCGCGGGCTGACCGAACAAGAGAGCGCTCTACGCTCGCTGTGCGCTGGGGGGGACTGCCCTTCTTCGGCAAAACCCGCTGCTTAGTGGGTGCTGAAGAGCTTTGCTGACCCGCGGCCTATATGACTGGAGAAGGTGCAGGGCAATGGAGAATCTAGCCAGTGTCGCTCTGCTTCCCCACCCCTTGCAGTCTCAGTCTCTCTCTCCCTTCCCGTGGGCTTGTCCCTGCCTTCTCGCAGTGCCTCTTTCTGCCTCACTGATCTCGAGGCCTGCTCTGCGCACGAGTTTGTACCAGTAGAACTATTGCAGCCAGCGGTGGGATTTTTCTTTTGACTCCTCTAGTATAATTTCATTGATTTATTAGGCATATTATGGAGCAGGACCCCACTGTGCTGGGTTCTGTACAAACCTAGAACAAAAAAGATGGTCCCTACTCTTTATACCCGCATCGCCTCTCGTGTGGATGCGGTTACCTCAGTAGAATTGAGGCACAGAGAGATTAAGCAACTGGCTCAAGCTCTCTCAGGAAGTCTGTAGCAGAGGACGGACTTGAATCCAGGCCTTCTGAGTCTAAGCCAGCTCCCTAGCCACCAGCCCCGTGGGTTTTGTAATCCCCTTTTGTATTATTTCAGTTCCTCTGCACTGTCTGGCACTGTGGTAGTTCTCAGCTCCTAGGCCCTCATGGCTGTCACGTGGCAGCCAAAGAATTCCATTAGTAGAAGTGAGTGAAAACTGGATTTCTCGGTGTGTTGGCAATTTGAAGAAGTCAAAAGAGAAATTGTTTGGGGCCAAACGCCGTTTCGTTTTGGACAAAATCAACATGTTTCGATTCTGAGCATTTTAAAATGTTTTTGGATTAAAAACTAAACCTCAGTAAAGGACATCTTGAAAGTACGACTCATTTCAGACTGAAAAGTCAGGGTGTTTCGTTATGAAAAGAGCCAGACCAGCATTTCGAGTTTTCTGAAATTTTAAAACTTTTTTTCCAAAACAAAAATTTCAGCAAAACCGACGCATAGTTGGAAAATGTTTTGGTGTCACTGAAGCTGCATTTTTTGCCAAATAAAAGGTTGGTGTAAGTAATTTCATCTAGTCCTAGTTATCAGCTCTCCTGCAAACCGCTGCATACTCCTGGCTGCGTTTGTTCCCATGGTAATGGCCTTCGGCATGCTGCAAATGAGGCAAGGTCCTTTTAAAACAATTAAAAGAACCCAGTGAGGAGCTAATTCTCACTGTGGAGTCCGTGCAGCCAGCTGTTTTCTGCCAGAATTTGACTCCAGAACCCAAAGAGGCAGAGAAAGTGACAGGGGCCGAAGAAAGAAAAGGCACTGCATTAAACTGAAACTTGGAGATAGGGAAGGGGAAAAACTGGACAAAACGTACGAAAATTAGAGTCAAAGCAAAATAGCAACCCCTAAAGAAATAGCGCCACAGCGTAAAATCCAGTATAGAACTGCCAGTCACCGACCCCCGTGGAATCAAGAGAGAGAATGAAAGAGTAACAGTACATCAGGAAATCGCAGTCACAAAATATAACAGTACATTATTTTAAAAGAGAGAGAGAGATCAAAGAACATTTAAATATTTTTATGCTTCTTGCTACAGCTCAAGTGCTTCACATCAGCCTCAGTCACTATCGCGCCTCCCTCTGTGAATAGTAAATGTCGTACATTTCTACAACCCCTTTCATCCTGACGGATCCCAAAGCACTTTAACAAACACAGAAAGACAGGCCGGGATTCCCCGTGTGCCCCAGGGAAACGCCGCTGTCTTGTAACCCGCAGCGACGCTCCATGAGCGTTAGATTCTTGCCCAGCCCTACCTTTGCTGAAAACTGTAACTCCTAGAACCCACCACTGAAAGTTTACAGCCTGAGGCAGCTCAGGGTACCTTTAAGCCAAGGTAAAATGATGAGAACCGAGGGGATTGGTGCAAACCCGGGATCCTGCACCCCCAGAAAAAGCTCCAGATCTCAGCTTCCCCGCAGTGGGTTGGGAAGGGCTCTGAAAAGCCGGGGGGCATGTGCCTGCCGCAGCGTCCCTCACAGAATCACTGGGCCTGGGTCCTGTCTCTCTTACTCCAGTTTTTACATCAGTGTAAATCCGCTGACTTTGGGGGAGTTACTACGTGGCTGGACGTGCCGAGAGAATCGGGCCTGGTGTTTCTTTGGGAATATCTCAGTGCCGGCTGCCTCCCCGCAGAAGAGCAGGCCTCAAGGCCCCAGGCCAGGCCCTGGATTTCTAGCATGGCATTATCTAGATTTCAGCAGAGGCAGGAGAATTACTCCGCTTTGCTTCATGCTCGTAGCACATCGCGAAAGCAACCACAGCCCTGGATTGCAAGCAGAGGGTAGGGAATGCAACCCCCCTGGGGTTCCTGACTGGCCCCTCACACGTTCGGACTAGGTGGGGCTGGGCTGGGATTACCTAGCGCCTTTCAGAAGTGCTGGGCCGAGTCTTCAGTTATTCACTCCGATTTAAGGTTTCGTGTGCCAGTCATACATTGTGACCTTTTCAGAAGGTCTCTTTCTATAAGTCTATAAGATAGAACTCAACTATTGTGTGTAAAGTCAATAAGGTTTTTAAAATGTTTAAGAAGCTTCATTTCTTAGCATTTCTAAGAAATGCTAAGAAATTTCTTAGCATTTATTTTATGCTAAATTAAAATGCAGAGCCCCCCAGACCGGTGGCCAGGACCCGGGCAGTGTGTGAGCCACTGCAACTCAGCTCGCGTGCCGCCTTCGGCACCCGTGCCATAGGTTGCCTACCCCTGACCTAGTGTGACCTTCTGAATTGAAGGCGCTTTTATTGAGCAGCCAGGTTGGCTTGTGCCACCCCCCTTATTCGTAAATCCGTCATAGGGCTCGGCTGCATTGGCGGGGGGGAAACCAAAGCACTTTGCTATCAGGAGTAAGACACAAACATTACAAATTCGCTCCTTGATTTGTAGCTATTGGGCTAGGGGGGATCCGCTGAGACCCGGGGGCTGGTTCGGGGGAGATCAGGACAGGCCATGCCCCAGCCAGGGGAACACACGCTCCCCACCCTTGTTTCTTGTGGCCGGGGAGGGAGGCGCTCAGCACACGCCCCGAGGCCAGGCTGAGTGTGTGGGGGGTGTGTGTGTGTGTGTGTGTGGAAAGGGTTAAGCCGCCTATGTCACATCGTGCGTTCCCAGCTCCTCCCCCGCCTGTGATGTGGAGCGGTTTGAAAATCACCCCACTTTAAACCCCTCCCCTCCGCAGCCCATTGAAAGGCCACGACTCCAGCCCCACATGCGTTTGCAATCAGACCGGGATTAGAGCGCACCAGGGCGGGCGGCTGCCTGGGACCCCACGCGAGACGGACAGGCGCCCCCGGGGGGACGCGAGCATGGGCCGGGCAGGGGTCGCCGCCTCGCTGCTGGCGCTGGGGCTCCTCGTCCTGCGTGGAACCGCTGCAAGCGCAGGTTAGAGCCCGCGTGGGCCGGTGGGGGGGCCCCTCCAAAGGGCCCCGATCCGCTGCAGCGTGGGGGTGGCAGCGCCCCTGGGAAGCACGTGGGGCGCTTGGCTGGGGGGGGGTCTGGCTCGGTCTAGGGGTTCTTGTTGCTCCAGGGGCTGGGGGGGGGGAGGAAAAAGGGGGTGACTGGGCGGTTCCACAGTGTGATGTGCAGCTTGGAGCCCCCCCCCCGCCAGGAATCCCCTCTCTGCTTTCCTAGCATCGCTGCAGCGAGATGGGGGGGGGACCCCGCCTTTCTCAGGGTGGGGGGCTTTGCTGCCCCCCTTTATTGCGCCCTATGGGGGTTACTGTCAAACCGCTCCCTCCCTGGTCTGTTTCTCATGCACTCTCCGGGGCGGCGTGGGGCGCACCTGGCCAGGGAGGGGCTGGGAAGTCTGGGGGGGCTCAGCCCCTCTGTGTGTGTGGGGGTGTGTGTGTGCAGTTGGATTCACCCCCCCTCCTTTCCTAGCCACCCCTTAGCCCAGGTGGAAACATCCAGGGCCCATCTGTCGCCACCTGTTGCTTGTGTTCTCATCCCGTTTACACGCATGGCTGGACTCGAACCGAGTGATTTACTCCGGATTGACACCCGAGCGCCGGATCAACCCCTAGATCTTGCTTGGGGGGAGGGGGGCGCTCTCTGAAGAAGGAGGGGTCAATCCCCTCCCCCGCTAATGAGTTACTGATCAACTTTGGTCGGGAGGGGCCGATGCAGTGGGGACGCGCCTGGGGGTTGAACTGGGGAGTTGGGGTTGAGGCCCCGGAGCCCAAAGCCCCGTCGAGGGGCATTAGGAGCCAGGGCCGCCCTGGGGGGGCAAGTGGGGCAGTTTGCCCCGGGTCCCGCAGGGCCCCCACGAGAATATAGTATTCTATAGTATTGCAACTTTTTGTTATGGAAGGGGCCCCCGAAATTGCTTTGCCCCAGGCCCCCTGAATCCTCTGGGCGGCCCTGTTGGAGCCCAAAGCCCGCGGGGGATCTGGGCCCGAAGGGAGGGGCTGCAGGACAAGGAGGGGAGGGAGGGGGAAGGGCTGGGGGGGGGGGAATGAGCAGCTGATACCCCCCCCAGGCCAGCCAGGGGTCATCTCACC